GGGCACCGCGGCGGGGGGCGGCGAGTCGACGGGAACGAGCGGCACCGACCCCGAGACTTCACCGGTCAGGGAGCCGGTCTCGACGCCGCCCTCCTCCACGTCTTTACCGGTGTCTCCACCTGTGAACTCAGGTGCGGCGCAGGGGACCTCCGCACCTTCCCACACGGGCGGCGTTCCCGTAGTCCCGCCCGTGCACCAAACACTGCCTCATAGCGTTACCGGAACGACGGAGTCCTCACTCCAACGGGAAAACCTCTCACAGAGCCTTGCCTTTTCACGCTCGTGATTCCTGCAATAGATACGTCAACAACGGCTCTCCGGTCAATAGGACTAATTTGTAAGGCATTCTTGTGGGATTTCTCCGAATCAAAGGCATCATCGCAGGTGGTTCTTGATTAGAAAAAACACCAGAAGAAAGAACATGAAATCTATACCACAGATAAACCGATATTTGCAAGATAATCGTTCTAGTCTGTCGACTCACAAAGCAGCTATGTAGTATCAGGGGGAATGAAACAATCGTTTAGCGACGTTTTGCATAACCAAGACACAAGTGTCCTGGAGGAATACTTCCAAGTGTCGGCCGGGTCCCGCCAAAGGGCTCGCCCGATTTCCATAATGAAAGAGGTACAAATTAGCAAGAATCATTAGACTGAGGGGCGGGCGGGGCGCGTGGTCAAGTTGGGGGCACGGGGTTACCGGCCATTCTCATGGAAAACTGCGGGTCGGCGGTGCCTTTCCTATGCATGTCCGCCCCGTTTGAAGTGTCGGACGGGCCCGCCGGAAAAGACGGGCACGGCGGCGGCGGCTTGAAAGCGACTCGCGCGCCGTAATTAAAACGATGTACAAGATCGGAGACACACGATAAAGAGCTCGGTACATCCCTAGGGTAAGCAAGGCGTTAGCATTGTGCCTTCTGCATATTGGGAAAAGCCGACAATGGAGGCCGGCGGCTCCTTTGGTACCAGTGATAGAGCAAAGAAACCCTACGGTAGATTTTTTCAGTGTGAAGGAAACTCCGACTACGTGCGAACAGGATAAGGTGTGAACGAAACCCCCCAGACAAAGCTATTGTTTCCCACCATTCATCAAACCAGACATGTGACAAATCCGTGCCAATTTGTTCGTTAGGAAGCCAAGAAAAAAACTGATGCGTTACAGCATACTAGTACAGGGAAACGTGTGAGTTAACCAATGTAAGTTTTTGAACGCGTCCGTTATGCATGATAACGGATATAACGGATTTTCTGGTGACGTTTGTATTGGGTCCGTTGCCCTTGAAACGCCGGAGCCTGGCGTAATAATTAGTGTGAAATCTGTACAAATTAGTCCAGCGTTTATGCTCCCTAGGTTTTTATCAGTGACCTGGAAGCTCGAAGGTATTTGTCAACCGGTTGTTGTGGGCTTCGTAGCGACGGGGTCCTCATCTTGTAACCCCCGTAAAGATCAAATATTGAAGCCAAACTCGGTACAGTTTAGCGCCACGATGTTTACAAGAACACCTATGTTAGAGGTTCTGAATCCAATACTATGGCGAAAGTGGTAAAATTAGAAGACATACGTCTCCTGATTCTGAAATGAAATGTTAGCGACAGACGATTAGTATGAGTGATTTGCGTGGCTTCACGACGTGGGTCGTTGGTTTGACAGATCTGAGTGGTTTGGCTTAAATGAGTGTTATCAATTTGCACTCTGAATTGTTGACAAGATTTACCGTAGTCAAGGGAAACGGGTACAATAATGAGAGAAAGCGGGACAGAAAAATCCTGGCCGTTTCCGAAGAAAAATTCGACTTCAAACAGTCCGGATTAGGCCGGTACTAAGCGTGGGTTTCAGTTGTCCTGTTCTAAACTAGCGGTGTTTTCTCTGTTGGCTGTGACAAACAGAAGACTTTCCTTCTGTACCTGACTACCCAGGGAATATGCTACAAACTCAGAGGAACGAAAGAGTTGACAAACGGTACGTATTTCTGTTAGAATGCATACATATCCGGACCGACCTTCTCTGTACGCTAGATACATGTAAGATACATGGTACAAAAGTCCGCTCGAAAATCTGAAAATGTACGTTGTACGTTGAGCGACTTAAATGTTGTACAGTTGAAATGTGATACCTGAAACAATGTGCACTGCAAGAAGTGCATAGTGCATGTTTCGAAGAAAATGTATTTCGATGAGTACGAATGAATCCGTTCGGACTTCAATTCATTCGAAAGGAAGTCTTGATATTTTGTTGTCATTTTAGCGGCAAACAAAACTGAAATACTTGGATTCAAGTGACATGTCGACAGCAACATTTTGACTATCCAATGTAAAAAGCAGTGAGATATTTTTGTCTTACCAGAAAACGGGGTCTGCCGTTCGCAAGTATACAAAAACGTCGCATCGAAACGTCGCCGAACGATTGCCCGAGCTATCTAGTTTCTACCCCCTTGAAAGGACCAAATTAAAGCAATAATCTAACACTCAGGAATATCACAGGAGATATATTTCACATATCCATCTCAATAGTAATTGGAAACCATGCTGATTTATAGACCCGTATTTTATAGACCGCCATCTGGACTGACGACTGTGGAAAAGGTAACAGAACGTAGGGCTAGACTAGAGCAGAGGCTGCTATATGGACGCAGCAAACGTGTCTTTGTATAGAAAACGATTTTAGAGTGTAAAATCTATTAGTATATTCTAGATTCTACTTCTGATTATTTATGGTAAGACGAAAATCAAAGTTTTAATGTTAAGATTGTAACAACGTTTGTTGAAATATAGAATCAGTTCATTGTTAGGCTATGAAATTGCAAAGGTATAATTCGCTATGTTGGTGCTTGTTACGATATCACATCTACCTTTGCTCTATCTGAGAACATAGATCTCCAGTGCCTGTTGTTTAAGTGTATTAGAAGGTATGATAGACGAAAATGTGTTATACAGACATTAAAAACGTTACTTTCCCGTTTTAGGTTCGGCGTGTTCATTCTATAGTATGTAAGCGTGGAGTTGTATGAAAGAAATTCCTCGTTTTGCAACGAAATAAGATAAATGCTACTAGTACGCGCTTTCTGTTTTCTAAAATTCAGCTGTTTTGCCGTAATGATTGGAAACGAATAAGTGAACTGCTGACACTTTCGACATTACCAGTACAAGACGCTGTTTGAAACAACACCAATGATTTCCATTTGTCAGATTGTGATGTGGTTTTGAGTTCATTCCGAAAGACGATATGTCACATACAATACGCAGAAAAGTACGGTTCTTTTCTACGATACAGCGTATGGCGACCATGTCTAGTGTATCTAGCTAGACGATGCAGGACAAAAGCACCTTGAAAC